AACTTTACCTACCATTTTCAGTCATGAATAATATTAACAAAGAAGTAAGAATGCAACAGGACCAATTTTATGCCAAATGAATCTCAAAAGACAAACATAAACGGTTAGACTTGTATGCGAAATACACACACACACACACACACACACACACATACATATCTTTTATACAAAAACATAAGAAGCATTATCGTGTACCAGAATATTCCCTGAACTGAAATACCAAATAGAAAAGAAAAGAAGAAAACAGAGAACAACAAGATCAACCCATTAGGCAGTTGATAAACATCAATAAACACGGGCAAACTTGCACACTTGAAAATTGGAAGCTCGAAAACGTCGCCTGACATTCTTGTCATCCAGAATTTGAATCTCAAATGTGCAATATTTCTTCAGATTCTTTACAATCATAACCAGGAACGGAAGTTTTATACTCAGTGTAGCTGATGGGTCCGTTGGGCAAGTAATGCATGTGGACTGGATGTTCGACCCAACTATTTCAAGAACATTGGATTGTATGTCTTCATCCTGTGGTCTTTTTATATCCCCATCAACAACTGCTCAACAAAACAAACACATAATATCAAACCAGTAGGCACAATTTACTCTATCTTCATGTCGATACCTCAAAGGCATGCTCCTAAATACTGACCTGTCTGTAAACATTCGTAGTTCTAGATTGGAAGGAAAAGATACGAGCAGAAAAATATATACATATAGGTCTCTTCAGGTATTATCTCTGCAAATTTCTCTATCTTTTCACAAGACATTTGTGTTACATGTGTACAAATATTAGAGCAATAATCTCAGAGTTCTGCAAATATTGCACGATGTCTTTGATTATTTGATAGCTAAAGCTGCAGATGACAGCCACAAGAAGTTTTTAATTGAGGGGGCATCTACATGCTGCTTCAATATTTTTCTTTTGGCGTCAATTTGCCCCTGCAGAAAAAGTTAGAGATAATTTTATAAGGAAAATTAATGAAAAGAGCTTTAAAATTTTGAATCTTAATAAAAAACCAGATAATAAATTTATTTAATGGTTAGGACAAAGCCCAACATCAAACCAGCCCAGTAAGATTAGCCCAAGAAATAAGTTTCCAGTTTTACCCTTAACAGCAAATCATTTCCCGTTGATCCTCTCTCCATTTCTCAGTCTTTCCACGTAATCCCTATTTCTCGATCTCCCTTCTCAATCTCTCTGCCTAATCTTGATCTCTCCTCTGCACATAAACAATTCCTCCATTTTTGTAATCGAATTGATCTCTCTACCTCTCTCTCGATCTCTCCACATCTCTGTTTTCATTTTCCATTCCATTCGAATTCCACCATTTTTTCGAATCACCATATTAGGAGCCTTTGAGGATGAAGGAAGAGAGAAAAAAGCAAGCGAGAGAGACGGAGATAGCCGGAGAGGAAGAGACCAACGAGTTCTACCTGAGGTACTACGTCGGCCACAAGGGCAAGTTCGGCCACGAGTTCCTAGAGTTCGAGTTTCGACCCGACGACGTAGCTCCGCTACACCAACAATTCCAACTACAAGAATGGCACCATCATTCGCAAGGAGGTCTACGATATGGAAGCAAACTTGGTTGATCTTGAAGTTAAAGATGAGCCCAATTATCAAGAGGGGAAGCACATCTTTTTATTATTATAAAATACAAATATGAAATTGTAAAGAGGCTGCCAATAGAGAAAGCTAGCTTTCTACTTATCATAAACCACATCTTTTTAACCAAAAGCCATATGGAGATGGTCCACATTTGAAACTAATTATCATTTAGTCTTTTGAGAAAGACAAGTTGAAAAGTACGAGTTTATTTTGGTGAGTGCTATGACAACTTATAAACAAGGTTTTGCTGATGCTATTATAATTAGCAATTAATTATATATAGAGTCTATCCAAGCCATCTTGGAAGTATGTGGAAAATTGTATTCGAATCCTAGCTAGGTGTCTGATCATGTCTTTGTTAGTTTTGGAAATAGCATAGTATTCATATTCAGTTTTAGAAGTTAGCGTTCAGTTTAAGAAATAGTGATAGTACCAGCATTCATTTTCATAAATAGTGTAACACCAATGTTCAGTTTCAGAAATAGTATGGTGCCCATGTTCAGTTCCGAAATAGTCAGTGTTCGATTTAAGAAATAGTGATATTACCAATGTTTTGTTTCATAAATAGTGTAGTATCTGTGTTCAGTTTCATAAATAGTGTAATAATGTGTTCAGTTTCATAAATGGTGTAGTATTTGTGTTCAGTTTCATAAATAGTATAGTACCCGTGTTCAGTTTCATAAATAGTATAGTACCCGTGTTCAGTTTCATAAATAGTATAGTACCCACACTATTTCTTGAATTATAGCAAAATAACTCATACTCTTTCTGAAACTGAACCAAAATAACGCACATTATTTTTGGAAGGGGACAAAATAAACATTATTTTTTAAACTACAGTAAAATAACTAACACTATTTCTGGAAGTAAACCAAAATAACTCATACTATTTCTGGAACTACAACAAAATAACCACACTATTTCTGAAACTGAACAAAAATAATTCACACTATTTTTGAAACTACAGTCAAATAATCACAGTATTTCTAAAATTGAACCAAAATAATTCACACTATTTTTGGAACTACACCAAAATAATCACACAATTTTTTAAACTGGCCCAAAATAATCCACATTATTGCTGAAACTACAACAAATAACTCATACTATTTCTGAAACTAAACGAAAATAACTCACACTATTTCTAGAACTACAACAAAATAACTCACATTATTTCTAAAATTAGACTAAAATAACCCACACTATTTCTAAAAGGTAACAAAATAAACATTATATCTAAAACCACAACAAAATAACCAACACTATTTCTGAAAGTGAATCAAAATAACTTAAGGAAAACTAATGAAAATGTCTTCAATACTTTGAATTTTAATCAAAAATCATGTAAGAACTTTATTTAATGGTTAGTACAAAATCCAATATCAAGCCAGCCCAAAAAATATAATATATCGAGCTTTCGATTTTACCCTTGACGTTAAGTCTTGTCCGTTGGTTCGTTTCGCTTCAGATGGAGAGAGAGAGAGAGAAGGTTTATAGATTTAGAGCCTTTCGTTAATTTCATCACAATTCCAACACACGTATCGACAACCCCAACAACTCTGGAAAATGCAATTGAAATCCTGATGCATGTGAACAATATACGCAGATCTCGCTTCGGAAAGAAGCGAAGGATAGGGAGGTTGGGGCTTTTCGTCCGTCTTCTCAAATCTCCAGCGTTTGATAAATGTATTTGAATATGCAACTTGATTTGGTGTATTTTGGGAATTAGAGTTTATAAGTTTGGGAAATGTTGATTAGTGTTTTTGGTGGTGTTTGATAATTGCAGAGTTAATTAACTGTTTTAGATTGCGAATCTCAAAGTAGGTTTAAGTTATTAAGAGTTTGGTGCCGTAATCTGATTACATGCATGTATATGTTTTTGTTTGCTTGTGGCAGTTTAATTATAAACTATGCAAAGATTTATGTTTTTAGTCCAAATAGAAGAGTGTAGGTTTGCTGCATTTTGTGGTTTAGTTTGTGAAGTGGCGATTTTTGGATGTAGGCAGCTGTGGTTGCTCAGACGGTAGCAAAAAGCCTTGTCGACATGCAAGTTGCTGAGGACTCAGAAGAATCTTCTAAGGACGAGGAACGGGATACTGAAAAGGAAAAGCCAAGACGGCACTGAGAGCCAAGATGAGCATGGAAAGCCAAGAAATGCTGCTCTTGATAAATTAGAGAAAGCTAGAAATCATGTTGCGGGTATATATATTTTCATTTCTCAGCATTTGTGATTAATGATTATTCACTTGATTTATTTGCACATATGAAGATTTTTATCTTTCAATATACTTTTGGTTTTCCTGCACTTGCAGGATGTTGCTGAGTGAAGGTAAAAAAATTTGAGTTATCAGTCATACCATTTTGTTGTAAGAAAAGTTGTTTGGTGTGGCTTTGTAGCTCCTCTAAAATTGAATCATAATTATTTATATGTCACTTTGCACTCTACAATCATTTCCTATAATAGGATGGTGAGGGAGAAGGGATGGGGACCCAACCAATTACAAAAGATGCTCACTTTGCACTCTGTTCAGTTTAAGAAGTAGTTAGTGTTCAGTTTAAGAAATAGTGATAATACCCGTGTTTGGTTCTAGAAACAATCAGTGTTCAGTTTACGAAATAGTGATAGTACCAGTATTCAGTTTAAGAAATAGTCAGTGCTTACTTTAAGAAATAGTGATATTATCGTGTTTAGTTCTAGAAATAGTTAGTGGTTAGTTTATGAAATAGTGATAGTACCAGTGTTCAGTTTAAGAAATAGTCAATGTTCAATTCTAGAAATAGTCTATGTTCAGTTTAAGAAATAGTTAGTGCTCACTTTAAGAAATAGTAATAGTATCGTGTTTAGTTCTAGAAATAGTTAGTGGTCAGTCTACGAAATAATGATAGTACCAATGTTCAGTTTAAGAAATAGGCAATGCTCACTTTAAGAAATAGTGATAGTATCGTGTTTAGTTCTAGAAATAGTTAGTGGTCAATTTACGAAATAATGATAGTACCAGTGTTCAGTTTAAGAAATACTCAATGTTCAATTTTAAAAATAGTGTGTGTTATGTTTAAGAAATAATGATAGTACCAGTGTTCAGTTTACAAAATAGTGATAGTAGCAGTGTTCAATTTAAGAAATAGTTAGTGCTAACTTTAAGAAATAGTGATAGTATCGTGTTTAGTTCTAGAAATAGTTAGTGGTCAGTTTACAAAATAATGATAGTAGCAGTGTTCAGTTTAAGAAATAGTCAATGTTCAATTCTAGAAATAGTTCGTGTTCTGTTTAAAAAATAATGATAGTACCAGTGTTCAGTTTAAGAAATAATCAGTGCCCACTTTAAGAAATAGTGATAGTTGGTGTTCATTTTCATTAAAATTTAGGCTGTTTTTTTTTTTGGATAGAAAATAAAAAACTATATTAAAAAGAAAAACCCCCCTGGGGCAATCCGTTTGAGTACAATCAAAGAGAAAGGCTGGACGAGTAACAAGCGGAATAGAACTTAGAGGACTAAACGATGGAGCTACTTCATGTGTTGATGACATCTGCAAACAAGTTCTACTGTTAACATTGAATCCATCTCTTTTTCCACACATATTTTGGATCGATGCCTTTACCTTAAATAAAACAACATCCGCACCAGGCCTCATCAAATGCGTAATGGTCTCTCACAAATGCCGACCACCCATGATGCAAGAACAAACCAACATTCTATTGAATCAATTCAACGCTCCACGCACTGCCGCTAAGGTCGAACAACGAAACTAACCCCGATGTTCTGCCTTCCATGTGTCTCATGAATCTTTCTGGGATTTTCAGTCCTTCGGAGCTCAAATCAACAGAATAAACCCATATGCAGTTCATAAAGAAATCCATATCTAATCACAAATATAAATATAAACCACAACCCAGTCCATCAATTCATCCATAAATGAACAAACAAAAAAAACCATAAAATTTTCAAAAACTTTTTGGAAACTACCATCTAACAAATAGAATGACACGGGATTTAATTAAATAAATAATAAAGTCTGTAGCAAAGAGACAAAGATCTGATCGAACCTGGAACAAGCAGACGAGATCGACTGTGAGATTCAGGGGATTGTTTCTCTCGGCAAATCACGGCAAATCGAGCGAGGTGGGAGACCGCGATGGCGAGTGAGGTGTTTAGAGCGGGGTGGGATTTAATTAACTGAAATATTTGCCTTTTGTTGTTCGCTTGAAATGTTGTATAGTTTTTTTAACGGGATCGGCTGACGGAATGGGTTTCTGTTAGGGGCAAGCGCTGAAAATATTCTGTTTTGGGCTTTTAATTCAGCCCATGTAGTTTTAATGTTTGTGGGATTTCATATAGATTAGTTGTGTCCTTATGATTAAATCTAAAGTATTTTTGGTTAAATAATAATATAAGATGATTTTTGATTAAATTAAACTTCACTCAAGCCATTTTCATTAAAGCTCTCAATTTTATATAGCGTGCATCAACCGAATTATAATTTAAGTGAATAAATAAATTTACTAGCTATCTTAGGATAATAATATTACTATAGTGGTCAGTTTTTAGTTAATGTAGTATATAATTCTTATGGATAATTTAAGAAAATATATGGAGTACTTGGAGTTAAAAAAAAACTTGATGTAAAATTGAGCATAGTTGTGTTATATGATTTATATAGTAGATTCCACCTAGTCCGTGAAACTCAAAATTTGCTCCAGATTGCTTTGTTTTTGCCAATTTCGTTAAAAAACTGTCATATATGCTGATGTGGATTAAAAAAATGTAGATGTAAAACAAAACTAATTTTATGAAAATGGGGCCAAATTATTAATCAAATCAAACAGTAACGACAAACCAAAATATTAATCCAATAAAAATATAAAATTCCATTGATTTCATAGAATTTAAAGCCACATAAGCAAATTTAATGGATGTTTAATAAATTTAGGGAAACAAGGCAATATGAAGCGAGTTTTGAGTTTTGAGTTTCAGCGTGAAATTCTACACTAGATTCTTCAGTATGAAAGATCCAAACGTTGGATTTCCATTCCACAAGTTAACAAAGGATCGACAATCAATAAATAGCATACTCGTAAAATTGCACGACGATCCAACGATGTCAATTGTGAAAATTGAACGACGATACAATTAATTCAAAAATTGAATAATTAACTATCGCTTCGAATCTCAACAAACGGCCCTTGGATATAGGCTTTGGGGCATCAAGAACATCTATCCAAAATCCATGTCACTAGAGTTGCCCATACACCACCACATGTGCCGCCATGCGCGATGGTTTCCAGTAAGCAGAAACTCAGTTTTTCGTCAAAAACCAAACTTCACAGGTAGCAAGATATCGACAAGAGATGAAAGTTTATACCTGCGACGAAATCCAAAAATGAAAGAAAAAAGCCAAAACTGTTAGAAAGCCCTCGGAAGGCCGTAAAAGGTGCAGCCATGCCCAGCCGTCGTCTGACGTCCGATGGACATCAGAGGTCGAGTTTTTGAGAGGGGGCTTACAAAAATTTCACATAAAAATACTATAATACCATTTATACTAAAGTTCATGATTCTTCGTTCTCTGCCCTTCCCTTTTCCAAGTAAAATCCCTATCTCTAAATATACTCATCATCATCGAAGTTTCTAGTCCTCCGTCTCCACCGCTCATCATCATCATCGAATTGTCAAGCCACCAACATGGTGGCTTATAGTGTTAGGAATGTCGGTACTACAAGATAGAGAATGCACAAGGTAAAGTAGAAAATGGACGCCAACAATTTATGTGGTTCGGCAATTTATGCCTACGTCCACCAAACAAGGAATCTTCACTATATGAAAAAGATGAATACAATAAGAGTAGTCTTACCAAGCCAAAGACAAGGCTTGATGGATACAAGAAAGTATAACACACACTTTCTATCACTCTAAACTTCACTCACACAATGTGTAGTGGAACACTCTCACTCTCACTCTTGGAGTGGAACTCTAGCTTTGGACTTGATCATTTGCTACTCACTCTTAGTTCTCTATTGGTTACATCACACCCATATTTATAGGTGAGGGCTTGGCATTCTACTAGTTTCTAGTTCCTTCTTCAAACCTCTAGTATAGAAAAATCTAGACTAGCCACATACTTGTAGCTTCTAGATCTTTCCATTTGCAACCAAGGAAGCTAGTACTCTCTAGCTTCTTCCATCAACTTAATAACATGCTAGAATTGTCTAGCAAGCTCCAGCCTCATCTCTTGCTTACTAGAATAATCTAGAACATTGATCATGGGCTGAACCATATACCAACAATCTCCCCCTCCAGTCCATGAGGGAGGAATTCCGATCATGACTCCAAGTTACCTGGAGTTCATCCCAGCAGCTTTAATGCAGAATTCCAACTTTGATTTTGTGACTACTTTTGTCAACATGTCTGAAGAATTATTATCAGTATGAATCTTCTTCAGCTGCAGCAACTTGTTCTCGATAGCGTCTCTAATCCAGTGATAACGAATATCAATGTGCTTAGTGCGTGAATGATATGTAGTGTTCTTGCTCAAGTCCAGAGCACTCTGACTATCACAATAAATGCCGTAATCACTTTGCTTCAAACCCAACTCTTGGAGAAACTGCTTCAGCCACAACAACTCCTTGCATGCTTCTGTAGCGGCTATGTATTCAACCTCGGTTGTGGACAAAGCAACACACTTTTGCAACTTGGATTGCCAAGACACGGCTCCCCCGGCAAAAGTGAACAAGTACCCAGATGTAGATTTTCTACCATCCAGGTCACCTCCCATGTCAGCATCTGTAAATCCTTCCAAGATTGGTTTGGAACCGCCAAAGCACAAGCACATCTTAGAAGTCCCCTTCAAATATCTGAGAATCCACTTAACAGCTTCCCAGTGGTCATTCCCTGGATTAGAGAGAAACCTGCTCACCACACCTACTGCATGAGCAATATCTGGCCGTGTGCACACCATTGCATACATGATACTTCCTACTGTTGAAGAGTATGGAACAACTGCCATTTTCTCCTTTTCTTCATATGTTTTTGGACACGACTCTTTGCTCAACTTGATATGATTGGCTAAAGGTGAGCTTACCGATTTGGCTGCTTTCATGTTGAACCTTTCAAGCACCCGTTCAACATACTTTTCTTGTGACAACCACAACTTTTTGGATTTTCTGTCACGAATTATATCCATGCCCAAAATCTGCTTGGCTGGCCCTAAGTCCTTCATGTCAAAGGACTTAGATAACTCTTCTTTGAGCTTTTTAATCATAGAGGTATCTTGTCCGACAATCAACATGTCATCAACATAAAGCAATAAGATGATGAATTTACCTCCAGAAAATTGTTTGATATAGACACAAGAGTCAGCATGAGTTCTCTTGTACCCATTACTCACCATGAATGAGTTGAACTTCTTATTCCACTGTCTCGGAGCCTGCTTAAGACCATATAAGCTTTTCTTGAGCTTGCACACCAAATTTTCTTTACCTTTGACTTCAAAGCCTTTGGGTTGCTCCATGTATATCTCCTCTTCTAAATTTCCGTGGAGAAATGCAGTTTTAACATCTAACTGCTCGAGCTCAAGATCCATACTTGCTGCCATACCAAGGATAACTCAAATGGAAGTCATCTTCACCACCGGTGAGAAAATCTCATCGAAGTCAACTCCTTTCTTTTGACCAAAACCTTTGACAACCAAACGAGCCTTGTACCTTGTCATGTTGTCGTCTCTTTTCAATTTGAACACCCACTTGTTTTTCAATGCTTTCCTGCCCTTTGGAAGCTCCACCAGCTCATAGGTATCATTCTTTGATAAGGAATCCATCTCCGACTCCATTGCCTTCATCCATTTGTCACTGTCGTTATGAGCTCTGGCCTCCTCATATGTTTCAGGCTCTCCATAATTAGTCAACATGATATACTCTGATGAAGAATACTTGGTAGACGGTCTTCGATTTCTGATGGATCTTCTGACCTGATCTTCATTCTCTTGTAGGGCTGAAGGCTCCCCCTGATTGGGTTTTCCTTGAATCTGCTCTTCTTGACTAGGCTCCACCTGATCAGCAATCTCATGGTCTGGCACATCTTGATCAGGCTCCCCCTGATCAGCATTATCTGGTTCTGCAGGCACTTCATTGGCAGTTGCTTCAGGGATGTCATCGTGACTTTCTTCATCTGAAGCTAATGGATCAACTCCTCTGACTGCGCCATCTGGTTGTGCCTCTTTATCCGAATCCCCAATTGTTTGTTCTTCATAAAAGACCACGTCTCTACTTCGGATAAACTTCTTCTGGTATGGGTCCCATAATCTGTAACCAAAATCTTCACCGCCATAACCAAGAAAGATGCACGGTGTAGCTTTGTAGTCTAACTTCGATCTCTGCTCTTTGGGCACATGCACAAAAGCTTTGCAACCAAACACCTTCAGATGAGAGTAAGACACATCATTACCAGTCCATACTCTCTCTGGAACATCAAGACCTAATGGCACTGATGGAGATCGGTTGATCAAATAGCAGGCTATCCTTACAGCTTCACCCCAGAACTGCTTAGATAACTTTGCAGTCCTCAACATACACCTGACTTTCTCCATGATGGTTCGGTTCATTCTTTCAGCAACACCGTTATGTTGTGGAGTTCCAGGAACTGTCTTCTCATGACGTATGCCATGTTTTACACAATACTCTCTAAACTGGTGAGATGTGTACTCGCCGCCGTTGTCGCTACGAAGGCACTTGAGAGGTTTCCCAGTTTCCCTCTCCACCATGGCATGGAACTCCTGGAATGTCTGAAACACCTGGTCTTTGGTTTTCAACAAATACACCCACACCCTTCGTGAAGCATCATCAATATAAGTAACAAAATATTTATTTCTTCCAAGTGACTCGACTTCCATGGGACCACACACATCTGAATAAACAAGATCTAACAAGTTTCCTTTCTTTGTAGATGGAACAGAAAAACTAACTCTTCTTTGTTTTCCGAATAAACAATGCTCACAAGAGTTTAACGACGTTCCTTTGGTAAAGGGAATGTGAGACTTCTTTGCCAAAACTTGTAGGCCTTTCTCGCTTATGTGGCCTAGCCTCTTATGCCATAAGTCTAGAGATGAGTCCTCCACAGCATTCAACTCACCTTTCAAAACCTTGGCATTTGACCGGTACAACGTACAACAAAGTCGTGCTCTTGCTACCACCATTAAGCCTTTGGTAAGCTTCAATTTTCCTTCGCCAAT